GACAAACTTTATAAATCATTTATTTTTGGATCTTTCTCAATAATTTATTTAATTTTTGATTAATTAAATTTAATTTTTTTTATGAAAAGTATAAAACGTGATTTATTTTTCAAGTCATCATTTCAAAAATCCATTCAGATATTGTAATACTCCCTCCGTTTAAAACACTTCCTCTTTTATTTTTTTACTTTCAACAAAACACTTCCACTTTCTATTAAAAAACCACTTTTACCCTTACTTTTTCATACCCTACCTATCACATCATATTTTATCTCTAATAATTTATCCATCACATCATAATTTATCCATCACATCAAGGGCAAAATTGGAAGTCAACTACAATTTAATATTTCCTTATTTTTACACAAAGTCAAAATAGGAACACTTTTTTCCAAACGGAGGGAGTATGATTGTGCAAGTGAGGTGACGGGTGGAGTGTTTTTGTAAAAACGGAACAATTGTTGGAGTAATGATGTAATTAATTAATTTTCAGAGTATCCTTGTAAAATCAGATATTTGTCGGAATAATCCTGTGAATTTTTCCTAAAAATAATTAAGAGGTGTATCTTATACTATCTCTGTCCAACAAAGCCTTTCCCCTTATACTTTTGACTTGTCCCAAAAAAAATTCAATTTGGGCTAAATGCACATAAATGCCCTTGCTATTTTTCTAAATATAACAATACTGACCTACTCTTCTTCATATTTTGACATTTCTCAAGCCTTATTTGTTTCAATTGTCATTTTTTTTCCTTGGTCAAATTTTTACCGCTTTCTCTTCTAAATGTCAAAACTGGAAAAGTTTTGTGGGATGGAGGAAGTAGTTAAAAATAGGTACTCCTTCCGTTTCAAAAAAAAAAATGTTACAACTTCATTTGGAAAACAATTCCCATTTTAACTTTTAGCCATTCTAAGATGAGTGTATTTTTTTTGTTGATTTTCCAATTTCGCTCTTGGATGCGATAAGTAAAAATAGAATGTAATGGATAGATTAATAGGGGATAAATATGATGTAATGGGTTAGATAAGAATTACTTCGGTAAATTAAAAGTGAATTATGTGAGTAGATATGATTTGAAAGTTTACCCTACAAGAATAGTTAGTATATGGATAAAATAAGTTTTTTAATGAAATGTGAAAGTGTTGTATAAAAAGAATAAAACATCAACAAAATGTTAAAAATTTGGATAGTATATACGGAGCAGTACTCTACATGTGTGTGCATTGTTTTCATTTCGGGAGTAATTAGTCAATCGTCACTATCATATGTTGAGTATTTACTCCGTAACTTTTATGTTTTTTTTAGGGACTGTTGGATATGTCGCAGGCGGTTAAACATCACCGACCAGATCTTTATCCTGATCAGCTTTCAGATGAAATCCATGGACATACAGTGCTCTTAGTCGGGTGGGGAATTTACAGATGTCGGTATGGAGAGTTCAAATATTGGAACATAAAAAATCAGTGGGGATATGATTGGGGCTTGCAGGGTTATGGTCATATTCTCATGGATTCCGATGCCCCCCGTCTTTACGAAGCAGTCAATGGGCAACAACTCTCTTTGGAGGAGAGGGACGACGACTATGGGGTTGGATATGCTCCTCTAGTCCCTCTAATGAGTGGGAGCGGATATCAGGTAATTGTGTGCGTCTATATATACATATGAACCAAACACATTGTCTTTTCTTTTTTCGTACAAAAAAAGGTTTCCCTTACATTTTTTTTCTTCTTTTTTCGTACCAAAATACATGAACCAAACACATTGCCTGTCAGGCACTTCCAGCTTGAGCTTGGGGATTGGTCTTGCATGTGTGATCATCCTTGCAGCATCTGCCTCATCTCTATACCTCTTATACTGTTATAGATAACCTCTCTTTCTCCTTGGTTTCTCATCAGATTTTGCTCTCTTTCTCCTTTATGAAGTCCAGCTCGCTCTTTCTTCCTCAATCTGTTTTTGCACAAATTCACCAAACAATCCGGCCTCTTTCTTTCTCTCCCCTTCTCTCCTCCATTTTTATTTAATTATAGATTGAAGGTCGATTCTGAATGTGGTGTGCTCGAACCCGGCAGAAGGCCGGTTTTTGTTTTTCCCAGGAATTCTTCTATTTGAACACGAGTATGGATAAGGTGATTTAGAGACTCACTAGTCTATGACTTTGACACCTCCACGAGACCCAGTGGCGGAGCCACATTGGGTCAAATGACTGCAGTTGCACCCACTGAAATTGGATAACTTTATACATATATATTACTTTACTTAATTTTTGGCTTAGCTGATTTGGTTCAAGACCTGGAAATCAGCCACTAGACCCTGAGTTCGAATCCCTCCCCCCTCCTTGTATGATAAATTTTTGATAAACTATTCCTTTATAATTTTTTTATTTATACTTTGACCCTACTCTCCCCAATACCTGGCTCCGCCACTGACGAGACCTGGCGTGGCAACACCTTTGGTGTTGTTTTACAACTTGCACGTTTTCGAAATTCCAACAAATTTCTCAGCATTACAAAAACACACTCAACATTTCATTCAAACTCAACTTCAACCTCTTATCTTACAAGTGAGAATACAAGGCACATTTATTAAGCAATATAATTAAAAATTAATAGGAAATAGAATCAGAATATAATTATGCTTCCTTATTCTAGTCCTACCATATTTCCTTTTCCTATCCCTACCATAAAAGTAGGACTCTTGTATTTCCTGTAGTTCGACCGTGTGAACTGAACGGTCCACTAGTTCGACCGTGACTCGGTGAGTATGCTCCTTCTCGTTTGTTTCTCCTCCACGCTCCAATGCTCCGGTTTCGGCACTGATCTCTTTCACCGTGTTCTTGGGTTTGCATGAGATACTTGTATAATATCACTAAAATACAAATAAACATTATCTTGTGTATTGGTCCCGCTCTGGTGGGGCCCGCGTGCACAACCATGTTACTTTTTCGATTCACATCAAAATGATTGCAAAACAAAACCAAAATTGAACAAATATTGTAGGACGGACTTAGTAATTTTATTGAAATTCTGACTACTAAAACTTGTGCAAACAATAAGGGTCCGTTTGATATACGGAATTGACGGAATTAGAATTGAATTGGAATTGAGATTCCATGGGATTCAATTCCATAGAATTGAATTCTGCCAATTCCAATTCATTTTTGCACTATCAATTCCAAATCCATATAATTTTTGTGCTATCAAACACCAGAATTGGAATTGAAGTCCTCAATTCCAATTCTATAATTTGAATTCCACATACCAAACGGAGCCTAAGGTCCCGTTTAGTACATGGAATTCAAACTATAGAATTGGAATTGGAGACTTGAATTCCATTTTTAGTGTTTGGTAGCACAAAAATTATGTAGATTTGGAATTGATAGTGCAAAAATGAATTGAAATTGACAAAATTCAATTCTATGAATTTGAATCCCATAAAATTTCAATTCCAATTCAATTTTAATTCCACCAATTCCTTATACCAAACGGATCCTAAGTATTTTACAATGAATGTTTTGTGTTTACATTAAATTCTTGGATCCTCCTTGCGTGTGCATAATAAAAGTTCACATTATTTTATGTAGCCAACAACAGCATTCGAGAGCAAAGAAATTAATGTTTCGACATTGGATGATTTGGATGGCTTCATTTATGCTGAAGAGTATAAGGAGAAGAATCTCATTATTCTTCTTCATTCCAGGTCATACACACACACACACACACATAAAAGTCACATCAAATATAATTTATTTGTAAACTCATAATTTGATTGTTTTGCATATCTATATAGTGCTTGTCTTCAACGTGTTCCACAAATTCATAAGGTGATTGCAATCTCTCTTTTTGTTATTGAAAAAAAGTATTGAATCTATCTTTTTTATTTCTACGGAGCATTACAGAAACTAAAAATTGACTTTATCATGCATAGGACTTCACGCAAATTGCAAGAGTATATGAACACGATGAAGATTACATCTTCTTGAAAGTGAATATTGACTTAAGCAGCTTCAACGCAAGATCAATGTGAGTGACTCAATATTTTTACACATGGTCTTTAGTGTAGAATAATATTGAGGTTAATATATGAACTGTTTTTATCTTAATTGATACTGTGTTTTTTTGGGTACTACTATTAAGGTTTCGTATCCGAAGTTTGGCGTTGTTCGTTTTAAGAGCCAACCCAAATGGTCAAAGAAACCTCAATGATGCCATGAGGTTTCCGTTCAAAATCAGTGAACATGATTTTGATCACATGCTCCGATGGCTGGGAAATGAAGTGGGAGGAAACTTTTAGTAATCCAGGGGCGGATCTACTAAGAAAGAATTGCGGTGCCCTCGTTGTTAAACTATTTCTCTCTTTTTTTTTTGAAAAAATTTATATACTTTAGGCTGCATGCCCCTATCTAAATTGGGGTTGACCCCTTTTACAATTATGTATTCCTAACGAAATTATTGGAACCTTATCTAATTTAGTTTTTATATTAATTTTATTAAAGTAAAGTATATTTTATTAAAGTAAAGTATATGAACAAACATTTAAATTAAACATTTAGTTTTATTAAAGTAAAGTATATTTTAAATTACCTATTAAACAAACATTTTACATTCAATAAATGTTAAAAATAAATTTATTATTTTTTGTTATTTTATACTGTATATTTTTTAAAAAAAGATCAGTGGCGCCACTCTAGGATCTCTGACCGGTGGTGCACTTGTGCCCCCATCTACACAAATTTCTAGATCCGCCATTATAATGATCCATCCATGAATTGATTTGATAAAATTTACTTATTGTTTTAAGTAATGTTTGAATTACGTAATGATTTATTGCAGACAATTCTAAGTAAGATGTGCAAAGATTTTAATAGAACATGGGATAATATTAAAATTTATGAGTCTAGACATTTTGCATTAGGAGTAAGTTTATACACTACTCCGTATATAATAGATAGTTGTACCTTCCAAAAAAGAGTGAGCTAACGACTCAACCAAACCGAATATACAGAGCAACCAGCTCTTTCTTTAAACACCCTGCAATTATGCTATATACAAGTTGTGCATATGATTAAGAGGGCGGCGGGGAGCACTAACAGTATTAACTAGGTTGATCTATAGTTTCTTTCAAAAAATCACATATTTCATCCCCTCTCCCACAAAAAAGACAACCAAACACTTCATTCCTTCGCTCCAGAAACCACAACGCAGCTTTTCGGCACACAGCCCTGCACAACAACAGAAATTTCCATCAAGACGAAAATCTAATCAATTATTGCACTCTAAAACAATGGATACGACGAGCAAACCCGTTCCCACGATTCATACGCCTTTCTATTAAACTCCTGTTGTGCCTTGTGAAAGTAAGGGACCTTATCCTGAAAGTTCAAATATATATATATCTATATATATAAGAGGAACAAATATATATATATATATATATATATATATATATATATATATATAGTACTGATCTTAAAACTGTACATCTACAGAGGCCAAAACACAATATAAATCTCTCATGAACATTTCCCAACATAAGATGGGGCGTAAACTTGTGTCACAATCCCTTCGTTACCCACTTCACTATTATTTAGTCCCAGCTGAATCAGCAGTGATTCCTCCAGAGTTACAGCTACCTCAGTCCAATTTCAGAAAAGGAAAAACTACTAGCTAGGCTGAAATTAGTCAACAATATAAAAATCCTGCCTATGCTTCTATACAGCCATTAGTCTGAAATTATGTCAAATTGGAAAACAAAAAAACAATGGCCGTTCCCCAATTTGAAGAAAGATGGGGTGCATGCATGTTATGGCCCCTAGTATATTAGAATCCAAATAGGTAGGTATATGGTTGCTTTACGCGGTTCATTTTTGAAATTATGTTGTGCCTTCGTCCCAGCTTTCAAGTCGTAGGTTGATTTCACACAGTATAAGAAACATGTACACAAGTGTAAAGTGTGTGGTTCAAATCTCGTAAGAGAGAAGATTTACGTGGGGAGCCAGACAGTAATTCTTTAAACTGCAGAAAAAAAAAAGTAATTGAGGAGAAATTTTAGGAACGAAAGATGTATCAAGCCTGGTTAGTATAACAATTCAATTTTACAAATCTAAGTTCATTTTAGTTCTAAATGCCATTAACTTTGAAACATTATAAAAACAATGAAACCGATATTTTCATCTAATAGCCACAACAATTCTCTTCACTCACCTGGTCCAAATTTGCATCCTAACTTACTTCATATCAAAGCCCACTTAATTATCTCATTCACATTGACCGCCATTGTATCCTAGTGCTTATTTCGTTCCCAACTACATTCCAACCTTTTTTTCCTCTATTACCACAAGTTTAAATGCCATTTATTAGGCACCATATCCACCTTAGCATTTGGCATCATGGCTACTGATCAATGACAGTGGACTAACTCCAGGGTTCTTGCTGGAATTGACTCTACCTTTGGGAATATAATAGGTTGGTTGTTGTTATTGATTATTAATGATCATCTTTGTTGCTCTAGGGTTTAACAGTTTATCGTGTGATTGAACATTGAACTTAAAAAGCAAGCACACCACATAAGACCAAGAAAAATGTTTATACACTCCATCCGCACCAAAAAAAAAAGTATCGCATAAAATAATTCCCTCAAATCTCCAAAAAAATAATGTCATATCAGGTATTGTCTTCCCCAAGTGTTAAAATAGATAGCCTTCCAAATGCAAACTAAAAGGAGTAATAATTATATGTCCTTCAATTATGTTGAGCTTCAAAAGCACATTGATTATAATTATATAGGGATTTCTACAGTGTGTAATTATATTGTTATTTCTACTAAGTGTAATAAAGTACATGTAAAACACCATAATGATAATCTTAACCTTTGTCAGTACCATAAACACCATTCTTTGTGGAGGGAAGGAGTAAAAAAAGCATATTATCCTCAATTATAAAACTAGTTTAGCTATAAACAAATATTTCTTAGAAAAATGCTTACGTTATTAATGAATGACTTCCACTTTCTTGAAGCAGTTTTCCTGACCTGGTGGTAACAATAATTCGAAGATCAGAACTCTCCTATGACAAAGAAAAACAAAACCACAAGATAGTAACAAAGTACTTTCTCCGTTCCAAAATAATCCCAACACTTGCTTTTTAAAATTTACCAATGCACAAAACCACAAGAAAGCAACAAAGTAATTTGGTTAATTTGTGATTTTTTTGTTCGAGGTGAATCTAAAAAGATCCCAAATATTTTTACTTGCGTATAAGATCACCAAAGATGAGCAAATGAGAGCGTGTGAGTAGTGTAAATTTATTAATGTTGTGATTATTTTGGAAATGAGTATATATTAAGAGAGGTAACGCCACTAACCTTCGCATACTTCCATGAGGGGTTTTGTGTCCACATTTCTTTCCTTGAGGGATTCAGAGCAAATTATAAAAAAGAAAAGGATTTAATACATAGTGTTGTCGAGATTGTATCACTTCAAATGATAAGCAAGCAATTAAATTTTAAAGGAATGATATACATACAAGAATATACGGAAAGCAATGGCACGAATCACCCCTTTTTTTGGTGTAAGGTATACACTCAGCACTTTTCTGAAAATGGACGCAGAAACAACTAAATTGAAAGCGTACAAAGTAAAACAATGGTCCCTCTCTAAGTCCACTCTTTTCTTTTTTGAAATTATGAAAACATGCATGTTATCGAATTTGACAAGACATACATCTCACCACTACGGTTGGGTGCCGGGGGTCTTGGGGGGAGAACAGGAAACAAACGAGGATTTTCCTTACGAAAGGTGGAGTTTTTTTCTAGCACGTCAACCACCTCGTTGCGCATCTTTTCAGCTATGATGATAACAACAACAATCAAATTTTAGAACACACACACACACACACACAAAGACGTGAATTCCCAAGCAATGATTGTGTACCAGATTTATTGGGGTCATTGTCAACCTTGAATTCCTTTAGATGTAAACTTAAGTCTCGTGCGTCACACATCACTTTTGCTTTAAATATTTTTTCCCTTCCATCAGTAGTATCACAGGCTGTGAATGTCAAATAATACATGATCCCACCAACTGCCTGCATGTTAACTTTCACAAGCTGTCTGTACACCAGAGGTATTCCCTAATAACATAAATTTATAAATTTAAAACAAACAGAACTCAGTGAACCACACAGTTGTAAACTAGCTAATTTACTTCACAGTTAATAATCACATAACTTGTTCGATACAAAATAACTCGCACTCTCTGTTAACTTGACATAGAAGGAATTACCTAGTGAGGAATACCTCTTTTTTTCAATACAAAAGGTTTTTTTTATGAAATACCGAAGGTTGTTCAATAGAAACCCTATACATTCTGTTTTTTACGAGTATTTGTTTTGAACCAAATCACTTTATCTGAAAAAATTAAGACACAGTTTTCAAATAAGTGCCGCTAAGTGTCCCCGGGTACTTGGGGACATCCTGAAACCCAAATCCTTTATAAATTTGGAAAAATTGGTGTTTTCATGCTTCCAACCCCGCCCCTGTCCTGGTGCAACATAGCCATAGAGCATAGTGGTCTAAAACTAATGAGTCAAAAGTTGTACCTACCCCATCCTCGGCCTGTTTCATGGCAGCAAATTGAGCTGCCTTTTCAGATGGTTTCCAGTCACAAGAGGATGGTTGAACCCGGAAAATTCCTCCAGGTAAGGAGCCAGAACAACCATCAACATCGTATCCCTATAAACAGGGTTATCACAAATAATAAAACAAATATTAATAAAAATGATGATTCCACGTAGTGGTAGTTAAAGGAATAAGAAAGACAAACCCCAGATTCGTCGACTTTTTTGCTGTAAGCAGCATATTCAGATTGATTCATGACGCGATAACGCCTCAGGCGTGGGGGAAGGCATTCTGCAGGTCCATACACGGTTTTTCTTATATGGCCAACAGCGCCATAACTATCAAATCTCTTATTATTATCCTCCACATTTTCATCCATGATAATCAGATACAGGGACCCTAAATTTCATAATCAAACCACAAACAAGTGTTGTTGGTAATCATAGGAAGTATTTATCAAACATTCAAATCTTCATCAATAATCCATTCAATCCCAAAAAAAGGTACAGCATGCCTCGATCACAGGGACAACAGATGATGTTGGTTTTGCAAGAACACAAGCGATGGAGCCTAGAAAAAAGAAATACCAGATGAAAAGGAAGCGAGAACGGCTAGAATAATGGAGGCTCGTGTGTAGACGGCAGTGTTCTAGACAACCTTCCACTGGCGTTATATAGTCCCTCCGCCCTGAAACTTTTTTGAAATGTCTTAAAGAGCATTTTTAGGGCGACTAATGAGAGTTAGGGCTTTCACCTTTGAGGCTTTGTGTTGGCGGCACCTTTTTTGATGAATTTTTTTTGAATGCTGTTGACTCTATTACAAGGTAGTATTTGTTCATACTATTCTCAAGCTAATGACTAATGACGCACAAAGAGCCAATGCTGCTGCCTTCGCTGGGGCTCGAACCTGGGTGAACTTCCCCATGAATCCTGGGGAGTGGGCTCTTTTCTCTATTTTTTTTTAAGTAAAACAAGTACTCCGTATTATTTGTTCGCCTTCCTTCCCAAATTATTTGTCCTAATTTTACTTTAATATTAACCACAAACTAGATTTTAATTCGTGCGATACACGACAAAAAATTCATGTAACGATAAACGGTACAAATCATAAAAATAACATATACTCCCTCCGTCCCTGAGTGTTTGTCCACTTTCTTTTTTGCACACTATCCAATGCACTTCTTAAATCCATTTTATCTTGTAATGTGTATATTAAAAATTCTAAAAATTATATATTAATAATCTATATGTTAAGACGAATCAAACAAGATCACACATGACTATTTTTAGGCTTACACATTGAGAGAATTTGATGAGTTAAAGTGCTTAGATGAATAATTCCAAAAGTTAAAAGTGAACAAACACTGATGGACGGACCAAGTAATTAGGGGAAGAAAGATAAGTCAATGCATTTCAAATATATATGTAAATATTTGTATAATGTAGTATAGTGTACCAAGTAATCAATATTGCATGGCATTAGTTTAAGATGAATATAATTATAAATTCTGAAAAATTTCTTTATATACAACATTCCACATATGATAAAAAAGATTGTTTTCTTCGTCGCAAATTAAGATCTTCAATACTTGCCAATTTCTCATGCGTGAAATAGCAACGTAATATTAATCAAAACTAAAGACCGGTTATCTAAAGAGTATGTCAACATGGGATAGAGATTGCCCATGACATTGCATATGAAGTCATGACAGAAAATTACATGAGTATTTGTAAGTAATGGTTAAAGTTTAAACACATCAATATTGCACCTCAAAGGTGATACTAAGATTAATTTTATTGCATTCTAAGTGTAAATAATGGTTAAACTTTAAATACATCAATATTGCATATGCAAATTCTATTTTTTTCATCAAAGCACCTTAATTGTCAAATAAATTTTATTAAATTTAACTTTAGTCAAACATAAAAAAATGAAAAAGATAACTTAGGGGTTGTTTGGTTCAGCCTCTTAATAGTTCAGATGTCTGAATGGTACAGCACTTAATGGTTCACTGTTTGTTTCATGAGCAAATGTCTGAATGGTTCAAACATTTGCCTCTGAATGATTAAGTATTATACAAAGCTTGAATAGTTAAGACCTCTTATCTAATGATTCAGACATCTTACTAGTTCAAACTTAATGATTCAGACATCTTACTAGTTCAGCACTTACCTATTTAAAAGTTGCCAAACAGCTCCTTAATATGATTTGAAATAAGTACTGTAATATGTAATGTTAAATAACAACTTAAAATATTTAAGAAAAGCCAATCTAATCCTCATTTCTTATAGATCTGTAGCTTAGGATCTCAGATATGTGTTTTGATATATCATCTAAGTTATAAATTTGTATTTTCTGAAATTTGATCTAACAATACGTTTTACTCCGTGCTATACTTGTAATTAAACACATGATTAGGACTAGACCATACATTAATTCAACGAGCCTTTAACACAAAATCATTCAAATATCTAAAGCAAACCAGGAAAGGGATGTTGGAGCATCATTCCTTGCCCTCAAACCACAAACCACCAAAATCCATACTCTTACAAAGTCATACCCTTAATGGGCATGGTATGAATTCAAGTGCTTAAATTCATGGTGGGCATGAAATCACAATCAACGTCTAAATTCTGTGTGAAATTCGTGTTTACCAAATAAATCAGTATCTACTAGATTTACTAGTACATTAATATCTACTACGGAGTAGTACATTTATATATGAATATTTTTTAAATGGTTTTATATATAGATATATTTCATTAAAATTTAATATTTCAAAACTATATTTTATAAAGGAACTATTGATATTTCATTTTTATCAAAACATAATGTTTTTTTAATTTATCGAATCCATAATTTACAAGCTTTGACCAAGAAAACTCAAATGAGAAGATCAGGATAGAGAAACTGTTCTTTATAGTTAGAAGTATAGTGAATAAAAGCATAACCAATCAGATGCTTGCTATGTAGACTTACTATTCTTATATTATACCAAGTGAACAATAATACAAGAAGCACCTTTTTGTTCCATTCTCCAACCATAGCTTGGTATTTCATTTTTATACCACCCCAAAAATTGAGGGTTGATGTGATGCCCACCATGAAGTTAAGCACTTGAATACATATCAGGCCCATTAAAGGGTGTGGGATATGCTTCACAAAGTTATGAGGTGATTCCAACAACAAATAGAGTTAATAAAACAAACCCAATATTTAGACACTGCAACTATGCTATAGTAGTAGAGTAGTATGTTGCAGGATTATGAGGGAGGGGGGGGGGGGGCTTCTTAGGTTTCTTTCAAAATCAAACATACATTTCATTCCCATCAAACTGAACAGACTAAACCATACATAATGCTCCATAACATACATACATACATCGATCATACGCTCTCTACGAGGAGGATTGCGCATAGTTTGGCACCTTACCATCCTGCGCGACAACAGAAATTTTCATCAAGACGAAAATCTAATGAATCAATTATTGCACTCCAAAACAATGAAGACAACGAGCAAACCAGTTCCCACGATCCATACGCCTTTCTATTAAACTCCTGTTGTGCCTTGTGAAAGTAAGGGACCTTATCCTGAAAGTTTATATATATATATATATCTATATATATAAGAGGAACAAATATATATATATATATATATATATATAGACACACACACACACACACACATACATACATACATACATACATATATATATATATATATATATATATATGTATGTATGTATGTATGTGTGTGTGTATATGTGTGTGTGTGTCTATATATATATATATATATATATATATATATATATATATATATATATATATATATATATATATATATATATTTGTTCCTCTTATATATATTGTACTAATCTTAAAACTGCACATCTACAGAGGCCAAAACACAATATAAATCTCTCATGAACATTTCCCAACATAAGATGGGGCGCAAACTTGTGTCACAATCCCTTCGTTACCTACATCACTATTATTTAGTCCAAGCTGAATCAGCAGTAATTCCTCAACCCATATTCTACTTCTCACCCTCTGATGTCCACAGAGTTACAGCTACCTCAGTCCAATTTCAGAAAAGGAAAAACTACTAGGCTGAAATTAGTCAGTACCATAAACACCATTCTTTGTGGAGGGAAGGAGTAAAAAAAGCATATTATCCTCAATTATAAAACTAGTTTAGCTATAAACAAATATTTCTTAGAAAAATGCTTACGTTATTAATGAATGACTTCCACTTTCTTGAAGCAGTTTTCCTGACCTGGTGGTAACAATAATTCGAAGATCAGAACTCTCCTATGACAAAGAAAAACAAAACCACAAGATTGTAACAAAGTACTTTCTCCGTTCCAAAATAATCCCAACACTTGCTTTTTCAAATTTACCAATGCACAAAACCACAAGAAAGCAACAAAGTACTTCTTCGGTTCAAAAATTGATCTTGTGAATTTTTTGTTCAAGATGAATCTAAAAAGATCCCACATATTTTTACTTGCGTATAGATGATCAGATGGGAGCATGTGAGTAGTGTAAAATTATGATCATTGTGATTAACTGATTATTGAGGAACTGAGTATATATTAAAGGAGGTAACACCACTAACCTTCGCATACTTCCATGTGGGGTTTTGAGTCCTCATTTCTTTCCTAGATGATGGATTAAGATAAAATTATAAAAAAGAAAAGGATTTAATACATAGTGTTGTCGAGATTGTTTCACTTGAAATGATAAGCAAGCAATTAAATTTTAAAGGAATGATATACATACAAGAATATACGGAAAGCAATGGCACGAATCACCCCTTTTTTTGGTGTAAGGTATACACTCAGCACTTTTCTGAAAATGGACGCAGAAACAACTAAATTGAAAGCGTACAAAGTAAAACAATGGTCCCTCTCTAAGTCCACTCTTTTCTTTTTTGAAATTATGAAAACATGCATGTTATCGAATTTGACAAGACATACATCTCACCACTACGGTTGGGTGCCGGGGGTCTTGGGGGGAGAACAGGAAACAAATGAGGATTTTCCTTGCGAAAGGCAGCGATTTTTTCTAGCACGTCAACCACCTCGTTGCGCATCTTTTCAGCTATGATGATAACAACAACAATCAAATTTTAAAACAGACACAGAGAGACATGAGAAATCCCAAGCAATGACTGTGTACCAGATTTATTGCGGTCATTGTCAACCTTGAATTCCTTTAGATGTAAACTTAAGTCTCGTGCGTCACACATCACTTTTGCTTTAAAAATTTTTTCCCTACCATCAGTAGTATCACAGGCTGTGAATGTCAAATAATACATGATCCCGCCAACTCCCTGCATGTTAACTTTCACAAGCTGTCTGTACTCCAGAGGTACTCCCTAATAACATAAATTCGAATAGAGCTCAATGAACCACACGGATGAAAAAAACTAGCAAAGTTATTCTATAGTTAATTAACATAGAACTTGTTTGATACAAAATAACTAGCATTTTTCATTTGACATTCAAAGTAATACTACGTAGTTAATTTGGAACATCTCTATTTTCAATACCAATGGTTGTTCAATCAAAACTCTACACGTTCCTCTTTTATTTGTTTTGAACCAAATCACTTCATCTATATTATTAGAACAATATAGGTTATATATGTTCCTAACAACACAAAAATTGCATTTACCCCATCCTCGGCCTGTTTCAGGGCAGCAAATTGAGCGACCTTTTCAGCTGGTTTCCATTCACATGACGTGGGCCGAACCGGGAAAATTCCTCCAGGTACATTGCTATAACAACCATCACCATAATTTCCCTGTGTACAGGAGTATCAGAAATTTAAGAAAATATCAAAAAATGACAACTCTACAGAGAGAGACCTATATGTCTTGGGGAGATATTTTTGTTGATGAAACCCAAGGTGTGACCATCTTGATTGACTTATAACTATAAATTGATTGCGCCACGGAATAACATACTCCGTCTGGATTTGGCGTCTACTTTCGCATTTTGGAGTGTCCAGAATCACTCCCACTTTGAACATGGAAGAAGTGCCAACAATATCCTTGAAATCAAGTAACATTCAAACTAAAACATGTTGCGTATGATGTTGGGGGAGAGTGTTATGATAGCGTGTTGAGTTCATCAAAATGCTTTGCATTTGAGGTGTTAAGAAAATATCATAAGAAAATCCGGACAGCAAAGTGTAGTATAATATTAAAAATGTAGTGCACCACAGTTTGCCTCGTTTGAAATCAAAAATACATAATTAACAAGACACTACATGCATATATAGTATCAAGAATGCAATATAATGCATGGTAATTAAAGGAATGGCAAAGATCAACCCCAGATTTGCCAGCTTTTTTTCCCTTGGCGGTATATTCAGATCGATTCATCACACGATAACGCTTACGGCGTCGGGGAATGCTTGTTGCAGGTCCATCGAGATTCTTATTATTATCCTCCACATTTTCATCCATGGCCCTAAAATTTCATAATCAAATCGCAAATAAATAAGTGTTGTTAGCATTCAATTATTCATCAAAAGTATTCATCTACCATTCAAATCTTCAATCGACTGATTCAATCCCCAAATATTACGATATGCTTGTAGTTTGAAGAATATAGCAAATAAATAAATAAGTAAATCCAGAAACTAATTTAGGGTTTCATCAAACTTCAATTCCACCCAACAAAATAACATCTCCTAACTTCGCATATAATACTGGAAAAAGCAGGTTATCTAAATCTAGAAACCCTAATTACTATTGGAAGTTAAAATATGAAAATAAACACATACTCCGTAGGAAATAAAGAAAGCGCATTAAAAAACAGAGGCGGGGGAGGCTGCCGATTTCGGATCGGGGAGCCCCTGTGGTACGTACCCTCGATTGGCCTCGAAGACGATGTTCTATTGTTCTTTGTCCTCTGCTACGCGTCAAAGACTCAAAGTAGTATATGGTGTTTATCCGTGCCTGCCCTCAGGTTTTCCCGTTTTAATAGGGGTGTGCACAATTTGGTAAACCGACCGAACCGAACTGAAATCGAATAATTTGGTACGTACCGAAATTGGACCGAATAATTCGGTTCAGTATTCGGTTCTCATATTTTGAAAAAATCGGTTTTCGGTTCGGTACAAAATTTGGAACTGATATTTCGGTAAAAATCGAATACCGAAATTATTTAATATTTATTTATAATTTTATCCATAGCTACTCAATTCAATTCTCAATATTTATCCCAATATTGAAATAATGAATATTCACTCCACTAATTTTAAGTCTTATTATCTAAATTTGGAGTTATTTAAGATTGGAAATCATGAAAGCACCAAATTAATAGTAATAATAAATAATACTGGTAAATGTTTTTATATTTCGAAATGGACAATTCTTTTATTTGTATCAACTATTTTGTTTAATTTATGTAATGGTTCTAATTGTGTTGCTTGATTTTAATTTTGGAGTGTGTAATGAACTTATATATAATGGATTATGCTTTGTTCTTTTCCATTTGGAGAATGAAATATATTTTTTTAAGTTCAAATTTTGGTTTATGTTCAGATTTTGGTAAAACCGATTACCAAACCGATTTAATTTGGTTTTTACCGAACCGAACCATTTGATTTCGGTTCGGTATTCGGTACAAAAAATAAATTACCAAAATTTCGGTTCGGTTCGGTTTTACCGAATGAACACCCCTACTTTTTAAGATTCATTAAAAGTAATACATTAAAATTAAATTAAAAGTACGGACTTTCTCCGTTCTAGAATATTCGTATTATTTGATTTTTTTTTAGTCAAATATGATAAACTTTAATAATAAGTAACTCTTGACTTGTATTGCAAATTAATACAATCAAATAAATTTTTAAAAGTTCTAAACAAGTTAAATATACAAAAATTATTTTTATACTAATATACATAGTAGTTTTTACTTAATTAAAATTTAAACTTCGTCCAGTTTTTTTTGAAAAAGTCAATCTGGACAAATACCTATAGGACGGAGGTAGTATAAAATTGATACATTTAAATAATGTACCCAATTGAAAAACTTGTTTTAACACTTATTTTAATTAAAACAATTAAACTAAAAACATAAAATACAATTAAATAATACAAATTTACAAAAACTCAAAATAAAAATAAAAAAGAAATTAAAAAACAAATAAATGAAAAAAAAGTCAAAAAATAAAAACTAAAAAATTGAAAAACAATTTAAAACTAAAAAAAGGAAAAGAGTAACAAAATAAAGCAAGAAAATAAAAAAAAAGAAGCAACAAAAAGGAGAAAGAAGAAAGGGAAGAAAGGAAAAAGCAAAAAAGACAAAGAATTAGGATGAAATCAGTCTAATTTTCTTGAGTAAATTTTATATTTAATTCTTTTCTTTTGAAAACGTATAATTAATCCTTTAAGGCCTGTTCTTTAGGACTAGAAAAAAAGAGCTGGAAAGTGGAAAAAACTGGAAGAAACTGGAAAAAACTAGAAAGAACTGGAAGAAACTGGAAGAAACAGGAAGGAACTTCAATAAATTGGAAGGAACTGGAAGAAACTCGAAAAACTGAAAAAAATTAAAAAAAAATTAAAAGAAATTGAAAAACTAGAATAAATAGTAAAATCTAAAAAAAGTTTTTAAAAATTTTTTATGTGTGGTTTTAATTTTTAAATTATTCTAATTCTGATTCTTGTTGATATAAATTATTATTATTACTATTATTATTATAATAATAATTATTATTATTGTTGGTTGTGGTGGTGTTATCACGTTATCCAAATAATTGTCTTTAAAATAAAAAAATATTACGAATATTATTTTTCATACACAAAAAGATATTTTAAAAATTAATTAGAATATAAAATTAGCATAAATATCAAAATGTTAAATAATTAAGAGTTATTATGGCTATGCTGTATTTATTATAAAATAATATATTTGTAATTATATTTTATACATTACAAGATTTTGTTTTAAATATATGACATGTCACATAATGTAATCAAACTTATTTTTTCTTTAAGGATTGATAATTTATTTCCATTGTAACCCTATTTTTTGAATAAAAACATAGAACTGGTATTATTCATATTAAAAAGTTGAAGAAAAAAAATAATGAATGTGAATCATAAAAACAGTGAGATGAAAAAATGAAATAACTTATAAACTATAGTTATAAACACAAAAATTGTAATAAAAAAATTGTAATAATAATAATAATTATAATAATAATATATTTTTTTATAGTTATTTGTCAAAAGGTAGAAAGAATTTGAAGAAAATAAATATAGCTGGAAGAAATTAGAAGAAACTAGAAAAAACTAGAAAAAACTGGAAGAAACTGGAAGAAACTGGGAGAAATTAAACTGGAAGGAACTGGAAAAAACTAGAAGAACTGGAAGAAACGGGAAAGAACTGGAAGTTAAGAGTTCAAGTTCTAAAGAACAGGCCCTAAAATAGAAAGTTTTTCATATTTAGTTGTTTAATATCAAATATTATATATGTAGTCTTTTTATTGGTACCATTTTACGAATAGTCTTTTTTCAAGCCAATGATACTTACTCATGTTTTTGTGTTAATTAATTCCAGTTTGATATACATATTTTCGGTGTATATCTACGACAGGGTCACATACCTATATTTTTCAATTGTAGACGATTATTTTAGAATCTCAGATACGTGGGTTCCCATGACATTGAGTTCCAATGTCATGGGATGACCCGTGGGTGCTCCGGTGCCCCGTTCGTAAAATTGACGGTTCCTACCCCCCTAACCCTCCCGGTAAACCCCCCACCCCGGCCCCGACCCGAACACACCCTCCTACCCCCGTCAATTGCACCCACAAGTTGATTTTGACTTTAGAGTCAAATTTTGACTCCAAAGTCAAAATCAACTTGTGGGGTGCAATTGACGGGGGTAGGGGGTGTGTTCGGGTCGGGGCTGGGGTGGGGGGTTTACCGGGGGGTTAGGGGGATATGAACCGTCAATTTTACGAACGGGGCACCGGAGCACCCCGGGTCATCCCATGACACTGGAACCCAATGTCATGAGAACCTTGATGTTTTTGAAATTTGATCTAACAATACGTTTTACTCCGTACTATACTTGGAATTAAACACATGATAAGGACAAGATCATACATTTAATTCAACGAGCCTTTAACCCAAAATCAATTGAATATCCAAAGCAAACCAGGAAAGGAAAGTTGAAGCATCATTCCTTGCCCTCAAACGGCTTTAGTTTGGGGACGACCGCTTTTGATCTAAGCCACATTTGAACTCTTAACCAAAATAGTTTGTATGACATTGTTTGGTTATTCATAGGCTTGTTAAGAACATTGTGAAGGGTGAATAAGATAAAAGAAGCAAATGTCATGTCCAAGGCCGCTTGGAGAAGTATTCGTAGTATCTGAATAGTCCCCTCAAAAGGACTTGGGTAAAAGAACCAAATGCATGAAACTTTGGGCCCAATTGATCTATGCCCCCAAACTAAGCCAACATGAAACCGTCATCCTAATGACATTCATAAAGCTTCTCTAGAGGCATTGTGCACCTGCGTAGATAGTGAAATCGATATGACTTGGACTACATTTTTATGAAATATCACCGGTTATCATCATGGCCTTAAAAAAGGATGAGTTTCAAGCATTCTTTTGCAGCCTAGTTTTCTTTTACGCTGCAAGCGACATCCAAAATGCCATTGAAGGCCACATGATTACAAATAAAGAATACCATATAGACAAATAGTAATTATAAGCACACCTAAATACCTTTTTAAAATAAATTAAACTATATAAGAAAATTAATGTTGTTTCTCAGCAACACACTAAGATCACCATGTGGCATAGAGGAAAGTGTGGAATCATTTCCAAAAACAGCTTGATCAAAAGAATCCCTACAAAGGGATCCCTCTACACCAAATCCCCACTAAAACCCAGCAACTAAATAGATTATCGCATTATTTTTAACAACCATATCCACAAAATAGAGGGAAGAGTTGAAAGGCTTCCAAAAACTACGGGATCAAAAGACACCTAGCCCCTTTTAAAACCCAGTTAGAAAGTAGAATACCACATACTCCAGAGTAATTTTCAACCCTCAAACTCGCATGTCTACTGTCATGTCCTCCCATTAACAAAATTGAACTACAAAAACTAGACATACTACTTAATTTGTTTTCTTGCCAAACAAAAGTACCAATTTAACTTTCCATAGAATAGTTAAGGCTCCTTAAAAAAATGGTTAAGGCAAAATAGGAAAAATGTACTCGCTCCGTCCACAAATAAACTTCTCATTCACTATTCACAGGGTCAAACTTTATTTACTTTGTTGGCCAATTTTCGTTACTCATTTGATAAAATAATATAGGCATGTCACTTCTAGTTTCGTAGATCTTTTGATATAGTTTTTTAATATATAATTTTTAGTTTAAAATTTCACACTATTTTTATCTAAAATGATTTAAAAATAATTTCAGTTAAACATCGTAATGCACAACGAGAAGTTTATTTGTGGACGGAGAGAGTATTTATTAACGTTTTTGGATGAAGTATTGGATGAAATATGTCTTCTCTCAGATATTACAATAAAATGTAAGAACCTCTGTTATCTCCTTAAAAATAAAAAGATTGATTATTATTTTGATAAAACTTACACCATCTGTAATTAATTTTTTGTAATTTTTAGCTAAAATATGAAATGGGGAGAGTACATATCAATCCGGTCCGCCCGCGGCCCGTGTAAAAGTAACGACCGCACACACTACAAACTACAAACGTCCCTCATTCTCTTCCACGGCCGTCTTCTGGGCTGGTATTTCACTATTTCTCTTCTCTAGGCTCCATCGATCACCGGCTGCCACTGTTTTAGGTGCCTTCAATTTCAAACCCCATGAAAATTTTTCATGCAAAACATTATCTATTGTCTCTATGATCGATACATGAAGCAGAATTCTGAGAGTTTTTTTCTCTTTTTTGTTGGGGTTCATTTACCATCCCAAAAATTGAACCCTAAACAAGTTTCTGGATTTACTTATTTAATTATTTACTACTCCTTCTCAAACTCCAAGCATGCCGTGATTTTTGGGGATTGAATCAATTGATTGAAGATTTTGAATGTTGGATAGATACTTTTGATGAACAGTTGAATGCTCAAAACCCTTATTTATTTCCGATTTGATTATGAAGTTTAGGGTCATGGATGAAAAAGTGGAGGGTGATGATAAGGAATTCGTTGATTATGGCATCGCAGGCCATATTAGGAAAACCGTGTATGGACCTGCAACGAGCCTTCCCCGACGCCTGAGGCGTTATCGCGTGATGAATCGGTCTGAATATGCCGCGTACAACAAAAAAGTTAACAAATCTGGGGTTGGTCTTTGGCATTCCCTGTAATTACCTTGCATTATGTTGCATTCTTGATACTCTATGCATATAGTTTCTTATTAATTTAGTGTCTTAAGACAGATTTATACTGCACTTTGCTGTCCAGATTTCGGTATACAATTATCTTAACACCTCAGTTGTTAAGCACTTTGATGAATTCGACCTGCTATCATAACACTCTGCCCCAACATCATACACAATAAGTTTTTGTTTAGATGGTACTTCGTTTCAAGGGCAATGTTGGTACTTCTTCCATGTTCCACTACTAAATAAGCGGGAGTGATTCTGGACACTCCTAAAATGCAGAAGTAGACAACCAAATCCGGACGGAGTATGTCCGCTCTTGGCGCAATAATTTGATAGTGATAAGTCAATCAAACTTGTCACACATTGGGATTCATCAATAAAGATATCTCACCAATGCATATAGGTCTCTCTCTGTAGAATCATCAATTTTTTGAATATTTTTTTTATTTGTGATATCCTTGTACATAGGGATATGATGTTGATGGTTGTTCTGGCTCGATACCCGGAAGGATTTTCCCGGTTTTACCCACATCTTGTGACTGGGAACCAGCTGAATTGGCTGCTCAATTTGCTGCCCTGAAACAAGCCGAGGATGGGGTAAATCAATAATTTCAAATTGTATAATTTCATAAATTAGATTAGTTGATTTCATATTGATTTATGATTTTCACTTTGAAATCAATTAGATTGTATGTATAATTAATTTTATTTAAGATTACTAATTTTGTGTGTGGATTTGATTTTTTGAAATTTTGACATTGACATTTTATTACTCCGTATTTTGCTCTCAAGAATGCTAGAAAACTTCAAGAATCCTTAGCTAACTATTAATATAAGCAATTTTAATTTTATAAGTCTATAAATTTGACAGTTTATATTTTTTATTATTATAATATTAATTTTGTTAAATACACTAATTGAGAAAATTTATTTTATTATGGCACAATGACTCATTTTTTCTTTATGTCGTACAGGGCCCCCGATTTCTCGGAGACGGTTGGTTGTTGTTATGGATTATTAATGATGTCTTTATTGCTCTACGGCTTAACAGTTTATCGTATGATTGAACATTGAACTTAAAAAGCAAGCACACCACATAAGACCGAGAAAAATGTTTATACACTCCATCCGCACCAAAAAAATATCGCATAATATAATTCCCTCAAATCTCCAAAAAAGAAAAAAAGAATGCTTGCGTTAAAAATGAATGACTTCCACTTTCTTGAAGCAGCTTTCCTGACCTGGTGGTAACAACAATTCGAAGATCACAACTCTCCAATGACAAAGAACGTGTATGTTGCAGATTTGGCATGAGGTCCTAATTAACCTAACCAACCATGATGAGGAGTCACGAGACTACTGGTGTAAGCAGCACAACGACGAATATTGGCCGACTTCAATTTATGTGGCACTTTAATTTCTTTAATACTTTGCTCCTTCACATTGACAACAAATAAGAAACGTGAAAACCAATCTATAAACAATTCGTCCTTTCCCACGCTCGAAACCATGAAACAACCACCCACTAGCATATCCATCATAGTAGCAAGGCCAAACCTCGGCTTTTGAAGAGTAAACATGGACTTTCGAACCCAGCGCCATTTCGCATAATCCTCAAGAATCCATATGTCGAAACGTCCCACTCCTAGGTCGCGCGCATGGCACATACCCAAGTGTCCACCATGAACAAACAAAGACATGAGTTTATGACTAACGACTTGTCCATCAACACATTCAACTTCTTCTGGATGGGGCAAAGTGTAGAGTTTTCGCGAGTCGATCTCGAATACCAACACTGCATGCATGCAATCGTCACACGTCATCATATGGAGCGCTCCGTTTAAAGCTATTGGATAGTTGTGTGGGTCCTTCCTACAAGCGAAACGGCTACAAGCAATTTTCTTCGAAGTGCGCGAAACGAGGTTGTATGAGAAATACAGAAAACACCTCTCCTCGGCAGAAACGTGACGCATGCACAGATAATTGTATTCATTGGTTGCCTTGTGAAAGTAAAAACCACACACAAAATCTTGGGGTCCAGACCGAACTCCTAGATGTTGTTGAGTGACGATGTTGAAAACAAAGTCGCATTTGCTTGGATGGGAAAAGATATTCGTACCATCTTTCCAAAGCGTTGCGTAACTTTTAAGATGAAGAAACGGACCACCACATTCACCGCGAACAGATGGAATATGAAACCCTTTATAGATGTTAAGATTGAAAGGAATGTTTCTCAACTTTTTAGAAACTGCATCATAAATATAATAATCAGATTTGTTGTGAAATCCCAACTGTATACCTTGCACAAGAACAACAGAAGGAGCTCTTTTGGCTTGCACCCCGATGAAATAACGCCACAATGTCAAACTTCTCCAGTCCGGACACACTGTGCGACATCGTAAAATAGTGTCTGCAGGAAGCCTACTGAGAATGTCAATTAAGATGTCGTCTGGAAGTTGACCAATAATCGATCCTTTTCCTCTTCTTGGAGGATCCTGCAGATTGAAGACAGAACATAAAAGATGAGAAATCTGCGGAAGGCATTCAACCACCATCAGGGCCGCCGGGCTAGCTGCATGCAATGAGAAACAAAACGGGTGGCCGGCCGGAGGGGACTGGCCGACGACTGCCGAATGGGGGCGCGCGACGGTCGTTTGGCTTGCACGGCGGGGAGGAGAAAATTAAATAGAGACAGAGATGTAGTCGGCCGGGGATTTCTTCGTCTTTACCAATTTATTTAACGAGTTAATTACCAGGGCAACCCACGTACGGCACAAATTTCCAATTTGTAAGCCTTATATTTGGTAAGGAAAATTAGAGGAAACAAACCGGAGAAAGGAAAGAAATTACAAGGGATTTTAAATTTCCATAAGTAAAATAGGAAGGAAATATATTAATGGAATAAAAATACGTTCTCCAAATTTTATTCTTTTTTTCTTGCGGTGTTCTCCTTTTTTACGCTACTTCTCCTTCTTTAAATATTTTTTTGTCAAACAATGATATTATTTGATAATAAATTAATTATAATCTATATAAATAAATGTTATAAGAATTGTATATATCAAAACTATATCCTAATATGACCTTAATTATTTTAAATTTATATTATAATTCAATATACTTTTCACACAATTTATAATCAAAGAGTATCACTTTTTGACCAAAGAAAGACAAAATAAGAAAGTTTTCAGAGATGGAGGGAGTAATTTCTTTTAGTTTGTTTGGATGGGAAAATGAAAAAAAGAGAAAAACATTGTACCAGAAAATGTTATTTTTACACTTTCATTTTGTAACATAGTATTGAAATATTTTATTTTTATAATATACTCCCTCCGTCCTAAAACTTTCTTCTCAGTTTGACTTTTCCTCATTTTTAATTTTTGGCTTTGACTTCAAATTTAACCCTCCTAAAAAAAAAATTTTGCAAATTTTTTTTCGCAATCATTCAAAATATAGAGTTAGAAGATAATTGGTGTAAATACATGAGAGTATAAATGTCATTTGTCATCTTTTTTTCTAATGAGAAGGTAGTTTTAGGACGGAGAAAAAGGAGAAGTGGGAAGAAAGTTTTAGGACGAAGGAAGTATATTTGTATGTAAATTGAGATATTAATGGTCAAAGTATTGCATTAGATGCCCCGAAAAATCAAATAAGGAAGTTAATTTTAGGACGGATGGAGAATCTTGTGATCTCTAGTCATTATGTGTAACAAATATGAAATTTAATTTCCATAGAATAAGTTTTTTGTCAACTAATTCTTTAATTTAAATATTACTTGCTGAAATTGCGTGCTAACATGTAAAAAAAGCCAAATAAGTATGTCACATGTCACAATTCTAAAAGACTAATTGTCAAATCTTTCTATAATACATGGGTTGGTATCCTTGGTAAAGATGCACATTTTCCATCCAATATATATTTGTACTTTTATGCTTTAGACGTTGTACATGTCAAAATTTTCCTTTGTTTGTCCTCTTTGACAGTAACCTCTGTTAGTGTCTTACTGCATATAGCCTAATAGTTGTATCCCCTAAAAAAAATAACACAGCTTAAGAATTCTTGATCTTCAACAGCTTTCATTATATTTCTCCCCAAAAATCTTTACGACATAGCTCTAATTCCTCAACCTTTTTGCTTATTCTAGCCAGAACTCCAAGTCCCTATCTAGAGTAGTTGCTTCCAGCCTCGGGTAGCTAATCCCTTCGATTTCTTTCCCTATTATAACCAAAACACTAGGTCCACAAAGTTATAGATTCCGACCAGAGCTCTAGGTCGCTGCCTCGACACTCACCCTATCAAGTTCTCAGTCACCGTCGCTATCTATTTCCGACGGGGTGCACCCAATGCATCTCTAATCCAAATCCCTAATAATCTTCTCAGTATTCTACCCCCTCCGTGCCATAAAATATTTTCTGTTTCAAAAATGACACGCCTTTAAAATGAGTAATTTTAGTGTTATTTTTAATTATGACTAATCTATTCTACATATCTCATCCTACTCTTTTAAGAAGTAGGGGCAAAATTAGAAAATAACACCAAAATTACTCATTTTAATTTTTAAGAGTGCGCCGTTTTGAAACAGGAAATGTTTTATGGGACAGAGGGAGTATATATTTATTGAATTCCAATTTTTTAGAGATTTTTTGAAAGTGTGAATATTGTTTGTATATGGATTAATTGGTTAGTTTCGTGATGTGTGATTTTTTGGATATTTGATTTTTGATGAATAACACTTTTATACAATGATAAATTATTGTTTAAAATTTTCAATTTAAGGTGTAATTTTTAGGTCGGAAATTAGATGGTGTTGGGCGCCACAAACCAGCAATTTTTTGCTCCGTTATATATCTTCTACCTTCTCGAAATTTGCATGTGCTTAGGTTTCATTAGAGGTGGACACGGTACGGTTCCGGTTCCGGAACCGCCACCCCATGTCACCGGAACCGTCACCGTGCCGGCCGGTACCGGTTCCGGTTCCCGGACCGGCGGTTCCGGTACCGGACCGGCCGGTTTCGCCCCCCCCCCCCTTTTTTTTTGATATTTTTAAAATTTTTAAAGTATAAAATTTTAAATTTGCAATTGTTTAAGGAAAAAACGAAATAAAAAATCTAAAAATGTAGTTGTTATTAAGATATTTTAAATGAACTAACTGAAGAACAACCACATTTAATATCCTGATGGTTCAAAAAAAGCGACGAGGTAAAGAACCGTAAAGAAACCCTCGAAGGAGCTTATATATCGCTCACCTAAAAAAAACTAATTACATATTTACATTAACATAAAAAAAATTATAACTTATTCTTCAGAACTCGGACTTCCATCTGTTGTTGCATTCATGTAATGCTCCGATTCGAGTTGGTACGAAGCCTCTTGAGCTCGACGTCTTGCCAAGAGCCAATCTTGGTTGCAAACCAGTGTTTCAAGAGATTCAGCGCTAAGACAACTTCGATAGTCGGTTAGAATGTTGCCGCCAGCACTGAATTCTCGTTCAACTGCTACGGTTGATACCGGAACGGATAACACTTGTCTTGCTAGCATGCCGAGACATGGGAACATGTGTTCGTTCCGCTTCCACCATCCGAGCACGTCAAAATCCACTTCGTCCTAATCGTAATCGCATGGCACACCCTGGTACATAGCAAGTTCGTTGTGCGAGCTTACTGTTGTACCACTTGAACTCGTCGAAGAATGAGCACGCTTCCCTTTCTTTGCAAGAAGACCACCGACTATTCCGGCAAAACCTTTTTTTGATTTCGGGAGCGGAGGTGGTGCTGTTTCTTCTTGTACAGTGCCGTATAACCCTTGATATTCCTCAAACAAATTCTCAAAAAAAGTTACAACATCATCTCTTTCTTTTTCCCATTCTACTAAATAACTGTAGTAATAACTATTTTCATCTAAAAAACAACTGTAGTCATACTCAATTAAAATTTTATAATTTTCAATCTTAAAGCGTGGATCACAAATAAGACCTATTTTATAAATATCAGGAATGTACAAATAATAATCACACCATTTTTGTATCATAGGATAGACATATGGGTACAAATCCGGATCCGCCTTACTTTCACGAAAACATGTTGCGATTGTAACGCACTCTTTTAAAAATGTATTTGTAGTTGGTTGGTAAACATGAGAAAAAGTAAGAGTTGCGTTATTAAAAACTTATAATACAGCATTCAATTTTTCAACAATAACAAATTCAAAAGGATTAATGATTATACGAAGTTCATCCCTAAAAAATTCAGCAAGTTTCTCTTTATATCTTAGAATCTGATGAATCAATTTGTAAGTACTATTCCATCTAATGTGAATATCTTTTGCAAAAACTATTTCTTTTTTACCCTTAGACTTACAGAACATCTTCCAGGACCGAGAAACAAGACGAGCCCCCCAAATTTTTTTAATTCCTTCTTTAATATTCGTCAAAACTCCGCCCGTAGCTTCTAGTCCCTGTTGAACACATAAATTTAAAACATGACAGGCACACCGTTGATGCAGAAATCTACCCATAGACGTAGATGGTGGGCAAATTTCTTTAAGTCTTGGAATAGCTGCAGTATTATTAGTAGCATTATCAAAACCAAATGAAAACACTTTGTCAGACAAGTTGTATTCCCGCAGAATACTCTGAAGCAATAGGAAAATATTTTCAGCAGTATGCTGTTCATTGAAATCACGAAATGCAAGAACACGTTTATGCATAATCCAATCACTATCTATCCAATGACAAGTAACACCCATATAAGACAAATTATGATAAGTTTCACTCCAAATATCAGAACAAATAGCAACACGAGAATTAAAATTGAGAAAAAAATTTGCCAAATTTATTTTTCCAGTTTTATACTGACGAATAATTTCTCGTTTAATTGTTTTTCTTGAAAAACCTCGTGCTTGAGGGTTTAATGCCTGTTGACAATAATCAATAAAACCAAGTTTCTCAGAAAACATGTATGGCAAATTTTCTTCACAAATCATTTCGGCCATTTTTTGCTTATTTTGCTTGTCGCTATAAGCAAAAAGGCCGCCCTTACCTCTGTTAGCAAACCGAGAAATTTGGGTTTGCACTTCTTGTCGTCCCTTCTTTTTTTGCCTCGTATTTGGCGTACT